GGGGTGCCGACGACCCCCGACCGGTAGGTGCTGACCAGCCGACCAGTCGGCGGGTTGGCAGCCGACCAGTCAAGGGTCGCCGACGGTCAGCGTGTGCACCTTGCTCCTCCTCCCATTCCTCATCCTCCATGTCTCCTCCTCCCTTCTCCTTTTCCTCTCCTCCTCCTCCTCCTCCTCCTGTTCGTCCTCCTCCTCCTGCCCTTCCTCATCCTCCTTGTCTCCTCCTCCTCCTCATACTTGCTCATCTTCCATGCCTCCTCGTCTCCTTCCCTTCCTCGTGTCCTCCCCTTCCTCGTGTCCTCCCCTTCCTCGTGTCCTCCCCCTTCCTCGCCGTCCATGTCTCCTCCTCCTCCCACTCATCCTCCTCCCCTTTCCCTTCCTCTTTTCCCTCCGTCCATCTCTTCTCCTCCCCCATCTTGACTCCTCCTCCTCGTTGTCCTCGCTATCCTCGTCGTCCTCCTCGTCCACATCCTCCTCCTCCTCTCCATATCCCCCTCTCCTCGCCATATCCCCATCTTCCTTTCATACGCCCCCCGTTCCCCCTCCCAAAAAAAGATAAAATAATAATAATATAAATTAAAAACCTGCACGATTCTGCACAGGCACCCCCCGCACGGAACTCCGCACGGAACTCCGCACGAATATGCGGCTCGTGCAGTTGCAAGTATGTCCACAAACCATCCATAAAACAAGGAAGGTATGGATAGTCAATGTAGTAGAGGATGCAAGTTTGGCCGCGTTTGTGTGGTTAAGTGCCAAGTGCCCACACACCCATCTGCCGCGAAAGCAGCACACTTGCATATATATATATATATGGTTCAGCCTCCTGATGAGTCAGTGAAACTCCGACGAAACTGTAGGCAGAGAGGGAGAAGAGGATATATATAGGGTTCAGCCTCCTGATGAGTCAGTGAAACTCCGACGAAACCGTAGGCAGAGAGGGAGAAGAGGACAAGAAACGAGGGGCTGTGACAAACTGGTTTGTCGGAGTTTCACCGACTGCCCAGTGAACACTGCAAGTGTCTTCTATTGTCCAGAAGACTTGTGAATGGAATGCCATAGTATTTGCAAGCTACTATGGTAGTATAATGGTACATAAGAGGATGCTATGGTACCCCTTTTTCAGGCTTTATGTCTGTTGTCAGAGACAGTTCTAGCCAACACTAGCTAAAGCCTAAGAGAGTAATGCAAGAACATAGTAGAAGGGGGAGAGCGGGAACCAAAATCATGACCTCCCCTTGAAAGAGGGAGCAAAGCTGGGTAGGCAAACGGAGGGAGAATGGCAGGAGAAGCGGAATGGAAGGAGAAGCGGAATGCAGGGAGGAGGGAGAATAGGAGGAGGAGGAAGCCGCTGCGGTCTCCCTTGGAGGAGGGGGGAAAGCTAAGCAAGCAGGAGGAAGGAGAATGGAGGAGGAGTAGGCAAAAGGAGGGAGAATGGCAGGAGAATGAGAATGCCAGGAGGAGGAGGAAGCTGCTGCGGTCTCCCTCAGAGGAGAGGGGAAAGCTAAGCAAGCAGGAGGCGGGAGAATGGGAGAAGGAGGGATCTGCCTGCTGCTGTTTCCCTTGGAAGAGGGGCAAACGCTAAGCAAGCAGGAGGACGGAGGATGGGAGGAGGGGTCTGCTGCTGTTTCACTGTTCCTTTCAGGTTCTTCCAGTTTCCGCAGAGCTTTTCTGTTATTCATTACCAGGGCTGCTGCAACCTGATTTGGTCTTTTGAAATTTCTCACTTTGTCAGATTTTGTCTTCATTTTTCCTTCTCTCCCTCCTTGTCATTATTTGCTTTTCTGAAGTTTTCTTTCTTCCTCCTTTTTTCCTGTTTACCCTAGAGGCTTCAACTTCAAAGAGATGGAATGCAATCCATGACAAAACTTGAATAACAGAGCTAGAAGACTCAAGAACAAGACAGAAGCCACTCCCCTCTCTTCTTCCTCCACTTCTTCTTCCTCCTCCTCTTCTTCCTCCATCTCTGCTTTCAATAGCCTTCTTGCTAACAAGTAGTCTCTGCTTCCAATAGCCTTCTTGCTAACTAGTACTTGTTTTCCTTCGTCTTTTTTTTTTTTTGAATCGTGCAACGTGCCAACATCTTTTTTTCTCCCCTTTTTTTTCTTCTGTTTTTTGGTTCCTCTAACTTCCTCTGTCATTATTCCTTCTTTCTTCTTTCAGATTCCCAACTTCAGAAGCCTTGATGTGCAAGGAACCCGACTGTTCAATACTTGCTGGAGTGCGTCACATCACATGCATTCATACAGATTTCCCAAGCTGCGATGTCTCACACAAAGCCCATAGAAGATGAATGAGATCCAGGAAGTTCAACTTAATTAATTAACAAACCCAGAGTAAGGAGGGCACATCATAAGTCCAAATGTACAGTGCCAATCAAAGTCACAAGTCTTCTCCCATCAACATGAGGTCCCTGGCCTGGCGCTCAGCCAGCACCAGCTGCCGGACATCAACAACAGCGCTCAATAGGTAAGTATCACCATAGCTCGCACCTCCCCCTCTCTCATCTGCTTTCTTCTCTCTCTCCCTCCTCGTCTATAGTACTGATCTACTCTCACTCATCATGCATGCACACTCCCTATTGCTGGTACTCCTACTACTACTAACCCCTCTATTACTACTAACTTCTGCTGGCGCAGCTATGGCTGCCTTCCCCCTTGCCAGCACTCTCTTCTTCCTCGCACAGCGCTGCTCTTCAGCCTAGCGCAGCTCACACACANCTGCTGGCGCAGCTATGGCTGCCTTCCCCCTTGCCAGCACTCTCTTCTTCCTCGCACAGCGCTGCTCTTCAGCCTAGCGCAGCTCACACACATCTAGCGCACAAGTGCCACGGCACTTCCACACTTCCATGCGAAGTGAGCATCTGTCCAAATGGGAGGCTGGCCAGTCCTTTATAGTGCTGGACTGGTCTGGCGGGGCCTGCATTCAGCCTCGAGTGTGCCTGGGACTCCTGCCCAGTACCGATTTATGCAAAGTGTGTGTCCCAGTATCTTTTCCCATGGTCTGCTGCTGCTTGGGCCATCGGGCCTGTCTTTTGGACTCCCAATCTGAATCAGGACTGACTTGTGGAATGATGACTGGAGTGGGACTGTAGCCTTTGACTTATTGACGAACAGACATGACTTTTCATCAAGGAGACATGACCCTTTCTCAGTCTCAAAAACTGTGTCCAGTACCTGTTCGTGCAGGACCTGTTATAACCCTTTCAAAATGACTTTCCATTTCATTATGGATGTGACTTTTGCCTCAAGAACTTTGTCTTTTGAGTTGCTGCTCGTGATTTTAAGCTCTGGCCGACAGAGCCCTTTGCTGTGGGGGTTTCCATTTGGGGTCTGATTTGTAAAGGCCCTTTTAGATGGAGGGGACGTGGAATGAAAATAACGGTCAATCCGGCGATTCCCCGTTAGTTTCCAGCAACCTCACTCCTCCCCAAAAAATGTCATTACTTACTTCAAGTTACTTGTTCTTTTCTGTTTAATTTGAAGTTTTTTCGGATTCCCACTCCTAAGTTAAAATTTGTTGCATTGTATTCCTTCTGTGGTTTTCTTTCGGGTTTTCACTTCTTGTTGGTTATTGATGATTGCTTCTTCTTCTTGCAGGTTTTTGCTCCTAGTCTTCCCCATAGTCCAACTAGCTTAAGTTGCTTAACACATTGCTTTTTCTTTCTTCTTTCAGATTACCTATTTTGGAAAGATTTACGGACAGCATGCCAACCAGAAACAACAATGACTGTTCATAGTTAACTTCAGCTACTGTTTATTCTTTTTCTTCAATTAGATTTCCTGTTTTGGAAAGTTTGACGGGCAGGCTGCTAAACCGAAGTTCGATTCGATGGGGGGCCTGCTAAACGGAAAATTTTTAAAATAATGAAGTGTGTTATGATCCTGGTCATTTCCAAAGTGCAAATTCACAATGAAAGACAATGCCACCCAATTGCGAAAGAAATGAAAGCACTTGCAAAGAGATAGAGACCAGAGGAGAGAGAAAAAAGAAGAAGAAGAAGAAGAAGAAGAAGATGTACACCAGCAAGACCAATGACAATTTCCCCTTCTCTCTCCACCTTCCTCCTCCTCCTTCACTTCGCCAGTCTTATTCTTCTCTCAATAATAATAATAACAATGAATGAATGAACCAGAATCAATATCCGAAGTTCCCTCTTACTGCTGACTCAACAACAACAACAACCAGTCCACCAGAGCTATGGCTTCCCTCCTTCTGCCTCCTCTCTCATGCATAGGCTATGGCGGACTACTGAGGGCCGTGCCCTCCTGTCCAAAGGACAACCCAAAGCAGCTATGATGCTGCTGAATGGTCCGCCATGCCTGACTCTGCCCCGAGCATCCTTGGTGCGGCACTACCCCAACTGGGGCCTTCCAGCTGCAGCGCCCAACAAGGTGATGAAGACGGTGTCCACAATAGCCAGGTAGGTGCAATGACTTGCTGTTTCCGGGTTGCCTGTAGCCTTGCYCAGACGAGGCTGTACTTTAGGTAGGGACAGATTCGTAATTTTGTTTGGCTGACGACTAACCGAGAGACCTGCCTGCATGGAAATTTGTGAGGGACATATTTGTAAATATARAAATATGGGCCCCGTACTAACTCGATTTCCCTACAGCTACCCTAAYTGCGAATAGCAGACCCGGGCTACCCCTAGGACAKACAGSCCCTATGGGCCTACGCTGATAGACGGTCCTATAGCCTATAGYCGGGTAGGGAGAGGCCCTAGAGGCCGAAACTGAAACGGTACCGGTCGGTCARTCAGTCCGGTCTAGGTCGGTCTAGGCTAGCGTAGAGTATAGGTAGGATGGGGACACCGGTCCARGGCTTTTGGCAGTTGACACTTCAGTTCGTGGTTGCTGATTCCGGTGTGGACAGRGCGGACATARCCAGACCTTYGGAGCGTTGACCAGACTGGGGTCAACGCTSTCCRCTCTGACTCTCTGAGAGTCRTAGYGGTCTGGGCTATCTGAGGTCTGATGCGTTGGAGCACGTGGTGCACTGCTGACCCTCCTCAGGAGTAGGGTCCCAGTGGCGATGCAGCCATAGCTGCATCTTCTCAGAGATATCATCGCCTGGGCTTCATCTTCATCAGGGACTGTTGGCGCTGAGCTTCTTCTTCATCATCTGGATGGCGKATGGCTCTGGGAGCCTGTTTCACTTGGGCGCAGGCCACTGAGTTGCATGTCAGGGTGGCGYTGGRTGTTACCTGGGKTTTYGGTGCTATTTTTAGCTGTTCAGGGTGTTGGGGTTGAGGCGCTACCCCTCTGAGGGTAGCGCAACAGGGTTCTGAGGYCATTCAGTGAAAACGGTGCTCTGAGTTTAATAAASAGTTGCAATAYTGTGTTTGAGTTATCATCTCTTCATTGTTTTCTGGCTATGATCACTCGGTTGTCTTCTATGAATGATTGTTGGGAATTGTGTGGAGAGAATTCACTGTCTGTGTATTCTGTCACTTCGCTCCCTTGAGTCTTCCGCTGCGTTTCTTCCTGTTGGGCGGTGTGATACTCCACTACCTCTCCCCTTCATTTTGTGCATGTATGGGCGTGTACGGGAGTTCCTGTGAGTGAGTGCTGATAAAATTTCGGCAGACAATCATGTTTATAACAGTTGGTATCAGAGCAGATCGGACCCAGACAGTGGCGAGATGATGGACTGAAGCAGCCATCGCTACCTGAGGGCTTCTGACGTAGGGTTTCATGGAAAAACTTCATCTTCAGTGTTGCGCTCAGTAGGGTGTTGGTGAAGGGTGTGTGGCGATTGGTATGACACAGGGATTGGTGGCGATTCAGTGCTCAGTGGCCTGGGAGGCACTGAGGGGCTATTTTTAGCCCAGGTGGTGGCTCTGCTAGTGCCGAGATACCTGGGGGTATGTCGAGTTGCAAATTCTGGACCAGGTTCAGAGAATTTGGCTACTGGGGATTGTTCGCCATATCAAGAGCTTCAGTATCACCAAATTTCAGGAGATTTTGAACGTGGGAGCACCAGGAACAGTGGATGGAAGAAACTGGCGAGATGGCAGCCATAGCCAGTTCAGCTTCTTCATGCAGTGTTTTGACCTGAAGTGAGTGTGTTCCTTACTCAAGTCCCTGTAGCGAGTCTGATGAGTGTAATTAGACTGGGGAAATAGTAGATGCATGTCTGTTGTCAGTGAAACTGAAAAATCGCATTGCCTGACAGCCATAGCCATTTCTCCTACCTACCTACTTTGACTTCTAATGACCCTGTTTGACCTCCTCTCTGTCTCAAATTCCATCTCAGACTGTATTACAGTATTGCGATTCAGTATGCACTATGAATTGAGTAGTTCAGGGTTTGTATGCCAGTGATAATGAAATTCTGAATATTTCGCTGCCATAGCCAGTACCTGGGGCAGCTAGGGTTTTTCATAACTTAGGTTCTGTCCGTCAGAATTTCAATCTGTCAGTCACCTTGAAATCGCAATTCAGTATTTAGTCAGTGTCTGAAAGCGCTATACTGGATTTGATGTTTTGAGTCAGGTACAGTGATATTTGTACTTCGCCTCACCTACAGTGGGGCATACAGGGTCATATAGTGCCGGTGTCAGTAGTAGGAGTCTAAATATAGCTTGTTCAGTCACCCGCTGCATCTTGGTTGACTACTGGGTTCTGGGGATTGCTACTAACTCTCTGTGCTATTCTAATATATCTGCTTACAGCCCAAGGTTGCATCCTGTCTATCTCTTTGACAGCGATTCTGGGGGTATTGACTCAGATGAGGGTTCTGGGCTGTGAATGAAAAATCGTAATTCTGATTTAATCTGGTTTTGACCTAAACTGACCCAGAACAGCCCTCAGCAGCCTACAGAGGCTGAGCGCTCTTCTGATTATCACACCACGTCTCTTCTCATCAGGTGGCAGTGATTACCTCTGTGCGTTTGTGTAATCTTAATCTCTGCTTACCTTGCATCTGCCTGTTTATATTTATTTGACTGTGTGAGTGGTTTATCATGTCTGACGCTGAAGGAAAGAGGTCTGAGGAAACGCCTCAGGCAGAAACTTATGCCCCTCCTGATCCACCCCAGTCTCCTCTTTCTCCTCTAGAGCAAGCACTGCTGATTGCAGAGGAAGCTAGGCGAAAAGTGGATGAACAAATCACCAAGCTGAGGAAGGAGAAAGCAGAGGCTGAGGAGGCAGGGAGACAGGAGGAAAGGATAAGACAGTTGTTAGTAGAGGTACAAAAGGTTGTTGATAGTGGGACTGCCAGTGGGTACAATAAGAGTATTGCTGAGATGGTCATCTTGAATGACACCCTTGGCAGATCTTATTTTTCCAACTCACCTGCTGGTTCTCATGTATCCACCCCTTCTGTTGCTTCTGGTACATTTGTGCAGCGAGGGCCCAAGCTGACACCACCTCCTATGTACTCTGGGGAAGACCCCAAGGTGGATGTATCAGACTGGGTCACCGCTATGCAAGCATACCTGGGCAGCTTCACATTCCCAGAAGCAACAAAGGTGGGAACCATTCTTGGCCGGTTGGAGAGGTCTGCACTGAAATGGTGCACCTCCTCTGCAACCAAAGAGAATGTTGCTATGGATAGGTGGGGACAACAGCTGGGGGTGGCAGGGTTGCTGAAGGCGCTGCAAGACCGGTTTGCTGACAGGGAGCAGACCCGCAAAGCAGCTGCTAAAATTATGCTGCTAGGGTCCCATAGATTTGAGGGCTCTCTGTCCAAGCTCTACAGTCTCTTTGAGAGCTTGACATCTACCCCTGGTTTGGAGATGAGTGAGTCCGACCAGCTCACCCATTTCCTGCATGCAGCCCCTCCAGACTACTCTATTGCTTTGTATGCTCAGGGCCATAAGGACTGGAGGTCCTTTGGCAAAGCGGCACTGGACCTGGAGTCTCGGCTCAAGGTTCAGACTCCTTCTGAAGGAAGGAAGAGGCCTACCTCCCAGGGACAGCGCAGGAGGAAAGGCGCTCTGTTGGCTGCTGATGCAGGTTCTGATTCTGATGCATCTCAGCGTGGCAGTCCTCCATCTGAGACTGCATCAGGATCAGCAGTGGAGCCAGCCGTTCTTGCCCTGGCTGAGAACCTTGCTGCCATGTTTAAGGGAAAGTTCAGCAAAGACAACAGCAAGGGTTCAGCCAGCCAAAAGGGGAAAGGGAAGGGACGTGCCACTTCCCCTCAGGCCCAGAGACCTAATCTTCCACGAGACGTCCATTGGCCAGTCAACGTCATGGACCCTTCCACCCTTCCCTGGAGAGCGCTCAGGATCCAGGAAGGGCAGTGGCAGAGGAGGAAGGACCGTGAGGTTTGTTTTCGCTGCGAGGGGGACCACTTCTTAAAGGACTGTCCCCACATGCCTCGCAGACCTGGTTCGAGTTCCAAAAACTCGACCAGTTGAGGGAAGTGGAGTCTGCAGCTCCCTCCACTTATGCTGAATCAGATTCTGATGGATCTGATTCTGCATCCACCCTCACTGACTCTGTTGTTGGAGTTGCTGCGTCAGGATCCTTCACTTACATGGTCCCTGATATGGATGAGACGTGGCAGGAAGATGATAGCCAGACTTTTGCTGATCTTTCCTGTCTTTGCAGGAAAAGAAAAAGCATAAATCAGACCTCATCTTGCTGCGACCCTCTATCCTGGGAGCCAAGATCAAGGGCCTATTAGACTGTGGGGCTACCCGGAACTTCATCTCTCCCAAGGCTGTCAGCAAGCTGCATCTGGATTGGAGATTGGTGAAGTTGCAGCAGCCATTGGAAGTCCGAATTGGGGACTCCTCCACAGTCCGGATTACATCTGTTGTCAAGAACCTTCCGGTTATCTTTGACAAGCAGGAGAAGGTCAGGTAGTGCCTCAACTTCTATGTGTTTCCTAATGTACCCTTTGATCTTGTGTTTTCCATGCAGTGGCTTGAGGCCACTAACCCTAGGATCGACTGGCAGATCCCTAGGGTAGAGCTCCCTGACTGCAGAGGAGACTATCAGCCTTATGTCATGGCTAATGAGTATCATTTTAGTCAGCAGTTGCTACTGTATGAGGGCACACGAGTTCTTTCAGCTCTCTCGCCAGACTGCCCACACACGTCTGTTCGTCGCATATGTGAAACAGACTGGTGTGGATGTTGCTCCTTGTCCCTCACAGATTCAGCAGGTTTTGGACCGGTATCCAGACCTGATGCAGGAGCCTACTAGACTTGTCCATAGGCAGACCCAGCACGAATTGAGCTCCTGCCAGGTGCGGTCCCTCCCAAGGGCCGTGTCTACAGGATGTCCCCTGCTGAACTCGATGAGCTCAGGAGACAGCTTGAGACCCTGACCAGCAAGGGCTGGATCAGACCCAGCACATCTGAATTTGGGGCTCCGGTTCTCTTTGTTCCAAAGGGAAATGGAGAATTCAGAATGTGTGTGGACTACAGAGGTCTCAACAAAATCACTAGGAAGTCTACAGAGCCCCTTCCTAGGATTGATGATCTGCTGGATATGGTGCAGGGTTGCACAATCTTCAACAAGATCGATCTCAAATTTGGCTACCACCAGATTGAGATGGCTGAAGGCGATGTCCACAAGACTGCCTTCAAGACCAGGTACGGCACTTATGAGTACCTGGTCATGCCTTTCGGTCTTTGCAATGCCCCCGGCACGTTCCAGACAGAGATGCATCGCATACTTAGGCCTTACCTGGACAGGTTTGTAGTTGTATACCTGGATGACATCCTGGTATTCAGTCGATCTGTCAAGGAGCATGCGCAGCATCTGGCTCTAGTTCTGCAGGCACTACATGAAGCCCAGTATAAGACCAATAGGGAAAAGTCCTCCTTTGGGGTGACTTCTGTGACTTATCTGGGACATGTAATCTCTGGGGAAGGGTTGGCTCCTGAAGCGCCAAAGATTGCTGCGATTCAGAACTGGCCACAGCCTACCACAGTTCGTGATGTCCGGTCATTCTTGGGCCTTGCATCATACTACAGGAAGTTCGTTAAGAACTTCTCTGCTATTGCTGCACCCCTGACTGATCTCACAAAGAAAGATACCCACTTTCTTTGGACATCAGACTGTCAGCAGGCTTTCACACGCCTCAAGGAGGCCTTGATGCGTGCACCTGTTCTGAAGCTACCTGACCCTACGTTGCCTTTCGTACTAACTTCTGATGCTAGTCAGTATGGGGTTGGGGCGGTACTTCAGCAGGATGGTGGGCATGGTCTGCAACCAGTTGAGTATATGAGTAAGAAGATCAAGGTCAAGAAGCTGCAGGATTCCACGTACGAGAAAGAGCTGTATGCTCTCGTGTTAGCGTTGAAGCATTGGAAGCATTTCCTCATGGGCCGGCGTTTTCAGATCTTTTCTTATCACTCCACCTTACAGTGGATGAAGACCCAGGGGGAACTAAATGACAAGCTTGCGCGCTATATTCAGTTCATTGATCTCTTTGATTTTGAACTGAAACACCAGAAGGGATGCTACAATCGTGTGGCAGACGCCCTTTCTCGTAGGCCTGAAACTGTCTGCATGATCTCCTCTACTCATACCTTTGGGAGAACACCCGTCAGACCATTGCCCAGCTATTGCCACAAGACCCGACTTTTGGCCGAGTTGTTAGGAATCTGCAGACTGATCCTGCTTCTGAACCTGGGTACATTCTGGTTTCAGATCTGTTGTACACTTGCAGCAGAGGAGAGGAGCATTTGTGCATCCCTCAGGACCGCCAGCTGAGAACACTCATGATGTCTGAGTGTCATGATGCTCGCGGCCACTTTGGGGCCTTAAAGTCGTTGGCTGGCCTGTCGCAATGGTTCTTCTGGCCAGAGATGAGGAAAGACATGCTGCACTATGTAGAAACTTGTGAGTTGTCCCAAAGGAACAAGGTCGTGCGACGACCTCCCCTTGGCCTACTACAGCCACTTCCCATCCCTGAGGCACCTGCACAGTCAGTGTCTATTGATTTCACTGATCTGGGCAGGACTACTCCTCGCGGTATGCGTCATGTTATGGTGTGTGTGGACATGTTCTCTAAGTATGCAGAGTTTATTCCTCTGCCAGAGGAAGCCAGAGTTCCGGCCCTACGAGCGCCCTTTGCTGACAGGTGGGTTACTCACCATGGACCACCCACCTCTATTGTCAGTGATAGAGATCCCCGGTTCTGCAGCAATGAATGGCAGTCCTATTGCAAGGACTACCTTCATTCTAGGTTGAACATGACATTTGGTCATCATCCTGAAGCCAATGGGCAGGCTGAAGTGATGAACCAGATTCTGTTTCAGTTGCTGCGTCCTGTGATCAGCCCTGATCAGCAGGATTGGGATCTCCATCTAGGACGGGCACAGCTAGTGTACAACACGTCTGTACACTCATCCATGGGGTTCACCCCTTACCGGTTGCACTGGGGATGTGAGCCACGGCGGCCTCTCGATGATATCATCGATAAGGCTACTCCCAGACTGACCCCTGAGACTGCAGAGTTCACCAGGCAGTACCAGAGGGATATCGAACGAGCCAGAGTTAACCTGCTCAGAGCCCAAAAGGCTATGATTCAGCAGGCTAACAAGCATCCTCGACCATCCCCCATTCGCGCTGGTGACTGGGTCTGGGTACTCAGTTCTGAGCTATCATGGGAGGAGGACATTTCGCCTAAGCTGCTGCCGSGTTACATGGGTCCATGGCAGGTTTTGGATACAGAGGGGGCTGAACCTTTCGRGCCATCCTATCATGTAGATGTCCCACTGCATCTACAAACCTACCCTGTCTTCCATGCATCCAAGTTGTTGCCTTTTACACCAGCTGATGCATTT